TTCCAGAAGCAAAGCATTTTGCCTGTGTGCTGTTCACACTGCCAGGTAAGTCCTTTACTTCGGTTCTAGCTTGACCTTCCATCATCCCTTAACCTCCAATAGCTTCAGATGCAGAAACTTTCTCTGGGGAGTTGTTCCACCAGAAACGGAGGAGTGAAGGATCTATTGAGGAGACATCAGGCAAGGTTTCAGAGGTCTCAGTGATGACAGCTTCAGCTGCCACCACATTTACAGGGGCCTCCGCTGCTTGACAGATGACAGAATGTCCCTGAAGCAAAGGCTCTGATCAGCTCTTTCTACAGCCAGTCAAAGAAATCCTGAGCTTGTCCTACGGAAGGTATACAGGTATGTATCTGTGAGGCAGGTTTTATCGACTTGTGGTGCCAAACACTTTATGAAAAGGTAGCTTGTCAACCTGAAGAAATGTATACCCTCATCCAGTGGAACTGTCAGGGAATTCATAGAAAATGGGAGGAATTGCAGTGATAGTATGTCAGGATATTCCTTTTTAGGCCATCCACCTGCAGACGACAGTGCAGGTGAAAGCCGTGAGGATAGGCTTGGCAGGTCATGGAAGAATTTTAGAGGAGGTGAATGGCATTCTAGTCATTGGGCGAAGAGATGGCAACTTGACTATGCAGACTTAGATCTTTTTAGATCAACTGCAGTAATGCAAGGATGCTGTTGATCATTTCACATCATGAATTCACCTTGTAGTAGAAGCATTCTTTCCTAGCAATAGCAAACAGTACCCTCGAGTGACGGAACCCCTTAGCATGGGAATGGTGCGCAAGTTTGCTGGAAAGAATATCTGTGTCACGCCCTGCTCTGAAAATAGATAGTATAATCCTAACAGAAAAAAACATATATATATATATATATATATATATATATATATATATATATATATATATATATTACAAGTGTGCTACTTAAATTCATGGCAGAGATCTACATCTTACACTGCCCGATTCTCCACTCTTCGGGCTGAGTAGGAACGACAACCAATGTCGTTCTTCAGTAAGACTCCAGTAGAACTTCCATACAACTTGCCAATTTTGCGCAGGGAGATGGACTTGCGAAAGAGGAGTATTACCTGCCTTCGTACAAAGCTCCCTTGTTTAAGTTTAGAGTGCAGATGGGAAACAGCTTCTCTAATCTGGAAGATCAGCGGAAAAGTAATAATGACAGTGATACTAATGATAATCATCATCGTCATCATCATGATAATGATACTATTGATGATAATAATAGAGATAATAAAAACAACAATAATGATAATAATAACAGTAATGATAATGATGATAATAATGATAATAACAGTAATAATAATGATGATAATAATGATGATAGCAATGATATGACGATAATAATAATAGTATTAATGATAATGATGATAATAATAACAATAATCATAATGATAATAGTTACAACAACAGTGATAATCATAATGATAATAATAATAAAAATAATATAATAATAAAAATAATGTAATAATGAAAATGATAATAATAATAATAATAATATAATAATAAAAATGATAATAATGATAATAAAATAATAATGATGATGGTAATAATTACAAATATAATTATCAAACTAATATAGATATTAATGCTGATACTAATATTAATGATCATAATAATAGATAATAGCAATAACAAAACTAATAATGGTAATAATAATAATAATGATAATGATAACAATAATAATAATAATGATAATAATAAAGGTAATACTACTACTACTACTAATGATAATAATGATACTACTACTACTACTACTAAAGATAATAATGATAATAATATTAGGAAAGGTTAGAAGATTAACGATTATATTGATATTGGGAATGACCAGGAAATTGGTAATGATGATGATACTTGCAACTGTAGATATGAAAATGTTTTAATTTTGATGATTTTCGTGTTGATGATGATTATTGCGATAATAATAGTAATAAAAAATGATAATTATGTTGATAATAATATGCAGAAAAATAAAGGTTACATTGGTCAATAAGAAGAAGTCATTTGACTGATTGATATTTGGTATAGTATGAACTGGGAGCCAAGGTTTTTCTAAAACTCTGCATGAGTTCCGCATTTTCCGGATAAGATTTGATTTTATTGTTACTCATAATCTTTACGCTAATACTAGATGCAAATGAAGATACATATTATTATTCGCCATCATTAGTCGGTAATTTGACTAAGTGAAACATGGCTCAGTGAATGCGTAGATTTAAACACGCTCACACACACACACACACACACACACACACACACACACACACACACACGCGCGCACATACACAACACACACAACACACACACACACAAACACACACACAACACACACACACATACACATACACACACACACACACACATACACACTCACACACATACACACACACGCACACACACACACGTATATGTATATATATATATATATATATATATATATATATATATATATGTATATATATACGTGTGTATGTGTGTGTGAGTGTGTAAGCGAGTGTGTGAGTGTGTGTGTGTGTGTGTTTGTGTGGGTGGGTGGGTGGGTGTTTAAATCTACGCATTCATTGAGCCATGTTTCACTTAGTGATATTACCGAGTAATGATGGCGAATAATAATATATATCTTCATTTGCATCACACACACACACACACACAGTCACACACATACACACACACACACATGATGATGTTCGTCCTTCGCAGGCGAAGACGACCTCGACTTCAGATCTCACTGGGGGTTGTGAGTGCGAAGATGGCTGAACAGTCCGATCTTCGCCCTGAATTGTCTGTCACAGTGTGGACACGTGAGTGCCGATGGTTGGCTAGGCTGGGAGGTGGTGTTTGCCCTGCTCTTCCTCCGCTGGCGATTTAAGCTGCTCCTCTTCCACGCGCCTCGCTTCAAAGCCCTTTGCTCCAGTGGTCACTGAAGCACGCCAGGAAGGGCGGTCTTGTGCTGCTTTCTCTCAAGGCATCGCACTTTAGCGATGCCTTGAGGGTGTCCTTGTAGCGTTTGCGTTGTCCTCCCTGACAGCGCTTGCCGTCTTTCAGCTCGCTGTACATCAGTCTCTTTGGCAAACGCTCATCGGACATGCGACACACATGCCCTGCCCATCTGAGTTGTGAGCGCTTCAGTGTGGCATGAATGCTTTCCATCTCTGCCCTCTGGAGTACCTCTGTGTCTGGGATTTTGTCCTGCCATTTGATGTTTAGCAGTTTCCTGAGGCACCTCATATGGAATGAGTTCAGCTGTTTTGCATGCAAACTGTACACTGTCCAGGTTTCGCACGCATACAGAAGGGAGGGGAGGACAACGGCACGGTACACCTTAAGCTTTGTCCGCAGGCTGATCCCTCTTCGCTCCCATACTCTGTCTCGGAGTCTGCCAAAGGCTGCACTAGCCCTGGCAATCCTGTAGGAGACCTCCTCATCGATGGTCACGGATCGTGACAGAGTACTGCCAAGGTAGACAAACTTGTCTGCCACTGAGAGTTTCTGGCCGTTGACCGTGACGATGGGCTCTGTGTAGGAGGCTGCAGGAGCTGGTTGGAACATCACCTCGGTCTTCTTTGTACTAATTGTAAGTCCGAAGTTGTTGCATGCTGTGGAGAACCTGTCCATGCTTTCCTGCATATCCGACTGAGTGCCAGCATTCAATGCGCAATCATCTGCGAAGAGAAAGTCACGGACGGTGTCTTCCTGAACCTTGGTCTTGGCCTGCAGTCTCCGCAAGTTTAACAGTTTTCCATCGGTCCGGTATTTGATACCGACTCCGATATCGCCATCACGGAAGGCATCCGTCAGCATCGCAGAGAACATCATGCTGAACAAAGTTGGGGCGAGCACACAGCCTTGTTTGACGCCGTTTTTTACAGGGAATGGCGCCGAGTGGTCTCCATCGTCCAGCACGCAGGCCTGCATGCCATCATGGAATTCCCTGACCAGGGAGATGAACTTCTCAGGGCAGCCGAACTTGGACATGATCTTCCAGAGCCCTTCCCTGCAGACCGTGTCAAAGGCTTTGGTCAGATCCACGAAGGTGGTGTAGAGGCTAACGTTCTGCTCCCGACACTTCTCCTGCAGTTGGCGTGCAGCAAAGATCATGTCCATGGTGCTGCGGCCCTGTCTGAACCCGCACTGGCTTTCCGGTAATAGACCTTGCTCCAAGTGTTGAGTAAGACGGTTCAGTAGGATCCTGGCCAGTATCTTCCCGGCAATAGAGAGCAGTGAGATGCCACGGTGGTTGTCGCATGCCTGCCGGTTCCCCTTCCGTTTGTAGAGGTGGACGACTGAGGCGTCTTTGAATTCCTGGGGAAGTTTCTCTTGGGACCACATGGACTGGAACAACTCAGTGAGTCTCCTGATCAGCTGTGGACCACCAGAGGTATAGATTTCTGCTGGAATTGAGTCAGCGCCTGGGGCTTTGCCCCTGGATAGGCGGTTGACTGCTTTCTTCACCTCGTCTTCGGTAGGGACATCGGCAAGAGCGTGGTTGGTAGGAACCTGTGGCAGCCTCTCGATTGCTTCGTCATTGATGGAAGAAGGGCGGTTGAGAACACTGTCAAAGTGCTCTGCCCAGCGCTCAAGAATCTTCTCTCTGTCAGTGATCAGTGTGTCCCCATCAGCACTAAGGAGAGGGGACGATCCTGACGAAGTTGGGCTGTAGACATTCCTAAGTGCACTGTAGAAGTTCTTCATGTCGTTGTGCTTGGCATAAGACTGGATCTCATCTGCCTTCTGACTCAGCCATGTGTCCTGCATTTGGCATAGCTCAAGCTGTATAATTCTTTTGCTGTTGCTGAAGGCAACCTTCTTGGAAGCAGAGGTAGGGTCATTAAGAAGGGCTCTGTGCAGACGATGTTTTTCCTCCAGCAGTGTTTGGATGTGATCATTGTTGTCATCAAACCAGTCTTGGTGCTTGCGAATGGTGGGGCCCACTACCTCTGAGGCTGCAGCATAGATGGTGTCTCGAAAGACAGCCTACTCTGACTCGATGTCCCCAGTACAAGAAGTTTGGGGGTTCAGTCTGTTCTCAATTTCTTCAGCCAGAGACTGTTTGATGTGATCGCTCTTGAGCTTGGAGATGTTCAGTCGCTTTGGGACCTTTTTCCCCTGTGGTCGTCTGGGAGGCTGGATTCTGATGTTGAGTTTGGAGATCAGCAACCGGTGGTCAGTCCAACACTCTGCTCCACACATGGCTTTGGTAACTCGGACATCTTGCCTGTCCCTCTGCCTAACGATGACATAGTCCAGCAGATGCCAGTGCTTTGAGCGAGGGTGCATCCACGATGTCTTGTTCCGGTGAGGCAGGCGGAAGATGGAGTTGGTGATGAGAAGCTCGTGTGTAGAGCAGGTTTCCAGCAGCAGAAGGCCATTGCTGTTGCATTTGCCTATGCCGTTTCTCCCCAGTATTCCCTTCCATGATGCATAGTCTGTGCCTACCCTCGCATTGAAATCACCCAATAGAATGAGTTTGTCTGCTCTGGGCACGGCAGAGATGGTAGCATTCAGGTCTTCATAGAATGCCTCCTTAACCTCATCAGTGTTGGTCATGGTGGGGGCATAGGCGCTGACCAGTGTGGCATGCCGCTTTCCACATAGGGGCAGTCGGACTGTCATCAGGCGGTCATTGACACCCTTGGGGGGTGAAGCCAGCTTGTTCACCAGGTTGGTCTTTATGGCAAACCCAACACCTGCCTCGCGACGCTCATCCTGTCTGTGTCCAATCCAGAAGAACGTGTATCCAGCGTGAACTTCTGTCAGTTGACCTTCCTCAGCAAGCCGGGACTCACTGAGGGCAGCAATCTGCACTTTGTATCTAGCCAGCTCTCTGGCAATAAGGGCAGTCCTCCTCTCTGGTCTGTCGGCTTCGGCACGGTCCAT